TTCTAGCTCCAAATATTATTCTTAAAAAAAACAATGAAATCTTAAATTCTAAAAGTCTAAAAAAAAGACTATAAGAAATATGAGTTTTGTTCCCTGAAAATTTACTAAAGCAGCTAGTGGATATAGATATGGACACACAATGCACGATTGATTTGTCTAGCGTTGACGCTGCTCGTATCACCAATTACTATGGGGAGAACCTTTTCAACAATGAAACATATGAAAACTGATTTGTGCAACAAAACGAGCGATGAATTTCTCGCCGATTGCTCAAGTATTTTATTTAAAATAGTGTATATTATTGGTATGGATGTGGACTCTATTATTGATGTATTCACTAAATTAAAATACCGTCGTGTACAATTTATATTGTAAAAAAAACTATAATGTTTTTTTACGGTTCTAATTTTCTAATGAAATGCGGCCCAGTGCATTTCTGTGTCCTGGATCCGCCGCTGCTCGTCGGGAGCATCACAAACTGGCTCTCAAGGCGGCCAAGTGTGTGTTTGTTGGGTATAACAATAAACACAAGGACTATGCTTGTTATAATGTTGCTGCCCGTCGTCTCCGTATCTCGTGCCACGTTGTTTTCTTTGAACATTTGTTATACTATGCTTCGGACAGTCCAGTCGACAGCGGAGGACTAGTGGGAGGGGACAAGGATTTATGTATTATGTAGCGTATTAACGGTGGACCGGTGGAGGAGGATCGTGGCGCCAATAATGGCAGCGGCACGACGCGATGAATGGTTGGAGAAGCGGTGTCGAGTGAGGATAGATGAGACCAAGAGATTTTTTTCTTTTAATTTCTGTAGGTTTATTCTTTTTTTATAAAGAATAAATAAAAATAAATAATAAAATTCCACGTCAGATGCCACATTAGCGCTGACTAGACTTTCTGTTAAAAACTAACGGTCAAGGCCCTAACGGAAAAATAGTTTCAGACACAAGTATCATATCGGATACTTTAGGACACAAATGACACATTGTTAATAGTTCGGGTTTCCTAGTGGTATTTGGCCAAAAATTTGTAAGGAGCTGATTTTGTCTTGTTACTTTGATCTACATATAAATGGCAGAAGATGAATCAGAAAGAGTTAGGCTTTAGGGTTTCATCAAACTAAATATGTTGTTATGGTATTAGAGTCTGTTGTGAAATCTAGCCGCCACAACCCATGGATAATAATGAGGCAACATATGAGCAACCTCAAGCACGCAAATAGCATATCAAATGAAAGATCCTTACTTTCTTCATAGGTTAGAGTAGCATGGGTCGATCTTGGTCGCTAAGAAACTCAACACTACCAACTACAATGACTGAAGTATAGCTATGTTCAATGTTATAACAGCAAATAACAAGTTGGGCTTCATTAATGGTACAATACCATGACCTGCAGACACATATCCAAAACATAGAGCTTGGATCAGGAACAACATGATGATTTTGAGTTGGATTCAACAGTCAGTGGAGTCAGATATTAGAAAAATGATTCTCTCTAGTAAATCAGTAGTAGAAGCATGTAAGAGCCTGCAAACCATATATGGATATGGATACATAGTCGAAGTTGTAGAACTTGAAGAAACTCTCTTGAATCTAAAACAAGGTAACCACACAATTACATAATACTCACTACAACAATTTTGGGATGTCTTGACGAAATTTTAATTTGTCATTTTAGGTTTGTCACAATAGAACCTATAATATGACAGAACTAAAATTTGTCATATTAGTTGTGTTTTTGTGACAAAGAAACATTTTGTCATACTAATTTGTCATAATAGACCCATATTGTGACAAAGTTATATGATGTCATAATATTTTGTCATATTACATATTTATTATGACAAATAGTGTATGTCATTATAAGTTTGTCACAATATTGTTCTCGTACTTTATTTCAAGTAACATAATTTTGGTAATGTGACAAAGTTTGATTAGTCAAAACAGGGGTGCTTTTATTCTTTTCCATTTTATGTTCAGATAATGAAAGTGAGAGAGAGAGAGAGAGAGAGAGAGGACATAGGGCGCGGGACCTAATTCCCTCCAGCGCTCCAAAACCATATCCACTCCCAAATTTCGCCGCTCAAAAAACCCTCTGTCAATTGGTCTGTCTTCGCAGTCGCATCGAATCCTCCCCGCAGCAGCGAGCAAGCTCATCGCGTCATAATCGAGTAAGACGACTGTACTCTCTTCGATCACCCTCTTCCACTTCTGTCGCATCGTTTTTAGACGATTGAGAGAAGCTTTCATTGGGAATTTTTTGGGGGATTTTAGGGTTTGCCGATTGTGAGACGATTTTGTTGGGGATTTGGTTGATTGTTTGTATATATCTGCATTTGTTAGGACATGCACCGATCTCTCATACTGTACTTCCCGTTTTCCCCAATTCTCTCACGCCCGGAATTCGTCAAATTGCCTCCGATAATCGAGCGGCTTGGATGGCGTAGGAAGCCAGATTCGAGTTTCATTTGATAAGAGCTGGTGATTGTTTTGTAGATAGGCTTTGTTTGTATCGAGAATTGCTAACGATTTGGATTGATTGGAGGGCTAGATTTTCCCGAGATCAGCTCGGGTTTGTCATCTTTAGAGCAGGGAAGCTGATTCTCTTTTGCCCCTTTCGAATCTGATTGCCCGTGGTGGTTGAGCAAAGTTAGCGTTTTAATCTGAATGAAATTCTTCGTCCTGTTTTGTGGATGAACTATTCAATTGATGGTAGGATCTCGTGGAATGATGACTTTTGTAGATGGATTCTTACGAGGTCTATGTAATTTTGGGAAGTTGGGAATTCAGATCCGGTGAAGCTTTCTTGATTTTACTTTTACTCTTCCATGGCTGCTAGCTGGATATACTCCGACTGTTGACAAGTGTTAAATGAAGAGAAACTACCTTTGTCTTGGTCTTTTGTAGAAAAAATCTAGTGTTAATGAAAAGTGAAACATGGAAGCAATAGATTGGGCAAGTTTGAAGAAAGTGACATCTTATCTTCTTCAATGATATGCATTTGTTTGCTGAGTGATCTTATGAATTGATAATGAAACCTTGTGCTTCGCGGTATACCATGCATGGAAGTCGTGTCTGTTTGGTCTTCTTATCGCTTCATATGCAATTTGTATAAGGCTTGCAAGTGTTTGATGTGTGTCCTGATGGAGATTTCCAAGCTTGGTTTGAGTAGTTAAGTTTCTCACATGAACGAGTAATGTAATGCAGCAGTGTTTTCTTTATTGATGGTTTCTTCTTGTTGTTCTAGTTAGGAATTGTAGTGTTGCTGAGTGCAGTATCGTTCATCAACATCTTATTTCAGGTATGGCTCCTGGTCCAAGTGGTCGACTAAGAAATAAGGCAGATGCTAGACGCACAGCAGCAGCAACAAGTAGAACAACCGGAAGTACAGCTCAGTTGCAGTCTACCACACTAGCAGATGGCTCATTGTCAGCTCAAAGTTCGAACCTTGAGGTGAATGTGATGAATGCTGAGGAAAAAAGCAATGAGATGCGTGGTGAGGAAACAAACAGTACTGAGACTGCCCCCTCTGCTCCCAATCCACCAAGTAAGTTTTTTCCATGACTTTGGTCTCTGTGTGTAATCTGATTTGTTTACAAGGGATTTTACGTGTGTAACCTGGTATTGATAACTACATAACTAGGTCCACCACTTAAGAAAAAACGAGGAAAGGCTAAAGGGCTGGAGGTAGCTAAGATGACACGAGATGGCAGTAAGATTTCGGGGCTGGTAGTTGCTATGGGAGCAAAAAAAGTTGTTGGTCATAATGAGAGGATCTTTAAGATGGAGATAGGAGTTATATGTAAACTCATGGCTCCCATTGGCATGTTCTATTGGTCAGATGTGACCGAGGAGCTAAAGCAACCACTTTTTGCCAAATTAGAGGTAAAACAAATCATATACCTGTATTTGCATGCTTGCTGGTCAGTATCCTTCACTTTTCACACACTAACATACTTTCACGACTGCAGAGTGAGTTTGATATCTCAATGACTAATGAAGCTATGAGGTTGGCTGTGGATTATTCACTGTCTAAGAGGTTCATTAACTTCAAGTATCATTGTCATAAGCATTATCTGGCATTAGGAGCTGATGCTAGACAGACCCCTCCTGAAAATGTGAAGATGGAGGAGTGGATAAAGCTGTGTGAGCATTTTGAGTCTGATAGGTTCAAGGTAAGCCATCTGCCATGAAGAATAGATTGAGTTTGATAAGCATTTAATTAGGTAGTTCTGTTATCCTAGGTTAGATATGGATAAGGTGCTAATGAATGTTGTCTTATACGCCGATGCAGAGGCAAAGTGCTGCTAATAAGCGCAATAAAAGCATGCAGACTTTTGCTCATACTACAGGTGGCAAATCATGCAGCCAACGAATGTATGAAATGGTAAGGTTTCTCCTCCATTATACTCCAATACCAGAATGCACCTTACTAACATTCTATAATCTGGACTGTTATTAGGAAACAACCCATGAAGCAAGCAATGAGGCTGATACGGAGAACAATGATAATGAATCTGATGAAGCTGAGGTAGAGCCCAAGGAAATCAGAGTTTATGCCGATACACATAAGAGGAAAAATGGGACTTGGGTCAATGAGCAACCTAAAAAAAACTATGTAAGTGAACACAACCGGCTGTGGTTCTTCCTTTCTTTAATTAGGGGCTGGTTCTAGTACTTGGATGTGTGAAATAGGGTCTGATTGTAGCTAAGTTAGTCATATAAGTGAATGAACTTGGTTGTTAGCAAACCTAGCTACTACTTGGATGTTAGCGGACCTAGCAAATACTCTGACTCCACTGTTGTGTTCATAGGAGGAAATGAAAAGAATCCATGCTGAAGCAGTGGCAGAAGGGAAAATATTATCCGGTGCTGAGATTGTTCTTATGGTGCTGGAAAAAGCACCCAGCTATACCAGAAAAGTCAGCTCGAGTTCCCAAAGAGAGAAAGAATTGGAGGCACGACTGGAGGAGACACTCGCTGTGGGGGAGAGGCAGAGGAAAGAATTTGAGGACCAGATTCATGCACAACAGGAGCAGATAGAAAACCAGCAACAGGAGATACACAGTCAGAACGGTATTATCAAAGGGTTGCAAGCATCACAGGAGACCCTAGCTAAATATGTCGAGTCACTAGCTGCAAAAATTGATGGAAGACAAGTTTAGCTGAAGGTAAAATAATAGTCTCATAAGTTGTACTTATACTGTCATCGGTGTTACTACTCAATTGAATTTTATTTAATAAGTTTTACTCAAACTTTGACCGTTGTATTACGCAGGTACCTAGGTATATGGCAGTAGGTATGCATTTTGGATGCTCAAGGACCTTTGGAAGGCTGTTAGCTTTTGTTATTTATTACTCTCTTTTGAAAGAAGAACATATGTCGCTTTGGAAGACTTTGTTTTGGTGTCTGGATGGATGGATCAGTAGGTTTTTGGAACAGATTGTAACTATGAATGATGTAGTTTTTTATTTCGGCAATGAATGATGTAGCTTTTGATACATTTGAATGATGTACCGTTTTCTTTATGGTATGAATAGTATCAGATTTGGAAAATAGGTCGTCATTATAATGCCCACAGGTTGTCATATATGCATCAGGTTATGACAAACAAGTTTAATCAGGACAAATGTCAGATGGAGTTTGAGTTTAAATATTATGACAAGCACATGGCTTTGTCAAAATAGGTTTGCTATGACAAACTATACATTTGTCACAACAACGTAGCAAAAGTGGTAACTATCGTGACAAAAATTAATAACATATTGTGACGAAGCATTTCCGTATTTTGACAAAACATTTTGTCATAACAAGATGCCTGTTATGACAAAATGTGCACGGCGTGCCACTGGAACATGTTGTGACAAGATGCCTATTTTTTGTCATAATAGAGCTATTTCGACGAGGTAGTTTTGACCAACGGTATGACAAATATTTTTGTCATAATAGAGCTATTATGACAAATGTAGGATCTGTTGTGACGAACGTCGTTGTCATAATATCCCAAAATTGTTGTAGTGACTATGAAAAAGTGATTAGCCTTAGAGATGATCTCGAAAACTATCAACTATTGTATCTTGTGATTGTAAAACTACTAGCCATAAGGACTATAGAGTTATCAAGAGGGTGCTAGAGTAGTAAAAAAAACAAATTATGTGATCCAAGTTCCTTAGAGGGCTTAATAATTTTTTCCTGGAGTTAGATATCAAGTACGATATGGGGATGATATGTCCAGCATTAAAAGGGTGTTCCAAAGGATGTTGCAACACGAGAGGCAAATGTATGGTACACAAAGTGGAAAGATGGTAGTCAGTGTGACCTCTGAGGCCATAGCCTTAGCTATGCAAGGTATCAACAGAAGGAAAAATCCAACTGGGAAGAAACCTTACTACACTTAGTCCAAGAGAGAAGGGCATACAGAGGATATTTGCTATAAAAACATGGTTGACCACCTGGAATGTGTCCTAGGACAACTCCTGCGATACAAGTAAGAGTGATAGAGTGCACCTTAATTTTGCAAGAAACATGGTCACACAAAAGACAATTGTTGGTGATGAGTCGGGACCTTCTGGCTAGTCGTTTATTCAGCCGACACGTTGCTGGGATGGATTGGATAAACATGGAAGGAGGTTCTCGATTGACGGAGTCAGCATCGAAATGAGATACAAAGGCGACATCTCAATCGCCAAAAGGTTGTGTGTCGTTCCAATACTTGCGACCGCCATTGAGCGACGGTAACCGGTTGCTAACCGTTAAACGATTTCCTCCATGTAACGGTAGCTAGTAGGTGACAGTAGTTTGGCACTAATTATCGATATACCGATAACTGGCTGATCGATAACCGACCGATTACCATGAGAGTCATTATCCAAGTAGGAAAATGATCACCACTCTCTCTCCCTATAGCCATTTCCCCAAAACATTTTAAGAAAATGTAGTTTTGTTCCCCGTTTGGTTAAAATGTTAGCTACTGTGTGTCACATATGCATCATGTATAGGCTCTGGCTTTCTATATATCACTGTGTTGGTTTTGGAATATGATGGGTTATGACAAATACAGGGCAACTGGAAAATCTAGGGTCAAATTCTACATACCTATAAATACACACCACTTCAACGAACGTACCCTACAACTGATCTCACCGCTCTTCCCTTTCGTCGCCTAAATTCCCGTCGCCTTCAATAATTACTGCCACCATCTTTGGCCCTTTCCTCCTTCTTTTCTTTCGTCTTTGTAGCACTGCAAGACAACAGAGGGAGTCAAGGAAGCGCCAAAGAAAAAACTTGCCAATGAATCCCAAAGTCACTGTCAAACCAAAGACAATTGTAGACCCATTGAAACCGCATGGTCTTTAGGGCCACTTCCTTTCCTTGCCACCACACCGTACACAAGAGGGAGCGCCAAAAAGAAATTATATATCCGACAAATATATTATTTGTCAATAATATGACTGTCATATATGATTTATCTCAAATTTATAAAATTGAATTGTCCGATTTTGAAATTTTTGTGATTGAGTTTTCGGTCAAGGGAAGTTGTTAAACAAAGTCTTTCATCTAATTTACTCGAGTCGTTAGCTAATATGATATTTCACTTATTAAGGAGTCGAATCTAGTTTACTCGAGTCTTTTAGCTAATATGAGATGAGCAATAGGTCGAAATGTGATGCACGTGCAATGCAATGTGTGTTCGTGCTTGATAGAACAGCTGTGTCGTCGATTTCGTTTGGTGCATATATGATCACGTGTAATCTGGAAAAGTGGTCGCGTCATATTAACTAAACCAACTTAACGGTAAGTGTAACTAATTAAATTAATTATGCTTAACTCCCCAGCTACATATATAGGATAATAGGAATCACCATGCAATTGTGTTTATAATTAAGTAAACCTCTAATTTACACATTTATTTTTATCTACGGTGGAAACTACTTACGTATCTTTGGGGGGTAAATGCCGCATTTGGTCACTGAGATTACCAAATCGTGTCATGTTTAGTTACTAGAAAATTTTGATATCAATTTTGGTCACTCGAATTACTGAAACATGTCACATTTGGTCACTCTCATGTAGCCTCTGTCCAACTCTAGTCACTCGAATTATTGAAACATGTTATATTTAGTCACTCGAATTACTGAAAGATGTCACATTTAGTCACTCTCCCATTAGTTTCCCTCCAACTGTGACTAAATGTGACCAGTTCCAGTAATTCGAGTGACCAAAATTGATATTAAATTTTTCTAGTGACTAAACATGACACGATTTAGTAATCTCAGTGATTAAATGTAGCATTTACCCGTATTTTTTTGGTGTGCACATTGTGTGATCACAGTTGGGAATTAATATGTAGATCGACTAGAGTATTCAAAGCGATGAGCTGCTAGCTAGCTAGGACTAGGAGGAAGAGGATAATTATGGTGATCTCTTGAGAGCCAGGGTAGTGGGTGAGGAGGATTAGGCAGCTCATCTCGGATTCGGAGAATTCTGTCCCCATTAAATTAATGACATCTATATAATAATAATGCATCTCCCAAGCCCCTAAAAAACACCCATAATAATCGCGATTAATATTTATTATGCAGACCATTCACTGCAACCACCTACTCCCTACATTTTCTTTTTTAACCAATAAGGAGAGACACAAAAACATATATGAAGTCGGTATGAAAAAATAGTGACGGAGGCGGCATTTCAAACCACCCATGTTTTTTTTTATAACTTAAATATATAAGTATTTATTAAATAATTATTTAATAAAAATAATTAAAATAATTATATTCGAATAATTCATTAATAAATTAAAAATAATCGATTATACAATAATACTTTTCAGAAACAACTACGAAGAAATTTCATATAGTGAAAGAAACGCAAAAACATTCGTTTTCTACACTATTAAATAAGTCTCTTTCAATGTATCTTACTAAATAAGTATTAGCAAACTGGTCGCCAAATCGACTTGGAAACTTGTTCTTAATATAACTCAAAGCTGAAAATGTTCTTTTTACAGTTGCAGTTGTAACTTGTAATTGGTAGATCAAAACTAGTGGGATTGCCGTTGTCGCTAGACAATTTCAGGATTGTTGGAGAAAACATCGAATAAGCATAAGGAGAAAAGAGACCCGATTAGGTCTTTATTGCAATTGGAATTTCGTTTATAGTACAATAAATTAACTTTATGTCAATTTTGGACAAGTAATGAGTTGTTGTGTTGTAGTGACAAAATACTTTAGGGGGTCATTTGGATGCAGGTTTTGGGTGTGGGATTTGGGCACAATCCTACATAGTGTAGGATTTTAATTAAATCATTCGTTTGGAAAACAATTATATGATGAGAGATTTTAAATATTAGAGATTTCAGAAACCCACAATTGTGGGATTATGAAATAGCTGATGGTGATCAGCTATTTTAAAATCCCACACAAATCCCACAAATTAAAAACCTAGGTTTTTGAACAAGTGATTTGAGCCAAAATCCCACAAATTAAAAACCTGCATCCAAATGACCCCTAGGTGTTGTGTTCCATCACCAATATAAATATATATGACGTATTTTTGTTCCACCAAAATTTACCCCTGTCTCGGGACAAGGCCCAAAGGGCCTGCTCCCGCCACCGATGAAAAAAAAACATACATAAATTTTGGCTAATTGTACAAACACAGCGCAATCTGCTACCGATTCGAAAAAGGTATTGTGTGCACGCTAATAGGACTCGACCAATATAGTGATAATTTTGTAAATAATTAGAAACCAGATGCGTAGTGTACATAAGTGAGTTTTGGGAGGAGCTGCCGCCTGCCAATGACATTATAAGCTCCCAGATAGTGGTGGGAATGGAGGTGTAAGGAGGTATGAGATTGAAAGAGCATGGTCACAACTGAGAAAAGAGGCAGAAGTAGAGGAGGAGCGGGCATGGCAGAAAGAAAGCACATTTTGACAGAGAGAGGAAGAGATGAGCTGTTGGTGGTGGTGGTCCTTTTTTTATTATCACCTCCACCAAAGCCCTACAAATATAAACGAAAAGGAAATATAAGAAACAAGTCTACACTACAGCCAGCGAAAGAGCGCGTAGACAGTGGGAACCAAAAAAAGACGTAACTTTCCGGCAACAATCGGATCCAGCTACCCCTCTTCTTCTCCTTCTGCTACAATACACCTCAGTAGCTCTTCTCTTTGTTTTTTTTCCCCCTGTTCCGACGGGTGACGTGGGTCATTTCACCGCCGTCCCATTCCGTCAAACCGCCGCCGTCCCCTTCCCCCCGCTCCCTCCCTCCCATCCATCCATCCATCAAAAGTCAAGACAAATGTCAAGCCTTGCCTCCATCTCAAAACACGCATAAACCAATGATTCTCTATTAACCATTATATGGTTGAATACGGTATCTTTACCGTTAGGCTAAATCGTAACGATAGAACCTACATGAATGTGGCTTGCTCCACCAAAACCATATTCTTTTCATTCATTAGGCTTAAAATGATATAGTAATAGCAAGTACCGCGATACTCACCAAAAGACTTATTTGATTGATAGAGTAAAATTTTGCTGTAAAATTCGGCATTTCTTAGTTATAATTGCACATCCCTAATCTCTCGCCAAAATCCAACTACAAATAGTTACCACCAACTCTCTCACATTTTATTATTTTATTTTATTTCTGATGGGTATGGGAAAGGTGAGAGTGAGTGAATAATTTTTTGGAACTTTTTGCCTACGTCTTTGGCTTTTAAGTGACACCTCTCCTCCATACAACCGAATATTTCCCCCACTTCCCCTTTCTCTCCTCTCTCACCCACTCTCCACCTCCACCACTGCTTCCTCCTCCTCCTCCTCCGCCGCGACGCCATCGCCGCCGCCGCCGACGTCTCGCATTCCTCCGTCCCCAACTCTCCCACCTTCCCCTCCCAGCTCAAATCAATCCCCAGCCCCCCAATTTCAGATCTCCATTTAAGACCAACTAACTAGAACTAGGACACCAAACTAACTACCTAACCAATAAGCTCAAAACTGAAAACCCAGAAATTTTGATTTCATCCAACGTAAACCCTGCTGCCAGACGGTTCAGCCTGATTTCCCCCCTCGTCCGTCAACCTACATTTTGCTCCGGTGAGTTCGATTTTCTGCGGTGAGAGTCCCGTCACGTTTGGTGGTTGGGGGAAAACAGTACCTCGTGGTGGTGCTGATGATGATGTTAGCGTGTTGTTTTCGTCTGTTTGTGTCTTTGTTTTCTGGGGAGGTTTTTTGTTCCGATGCCATTCGTACCCCGCTAAAGAATTTCTTTATTTGCAATTTACCTTGTCGATTCCTCCTCTCAGTGTCGGTGGGTTTTCTTCCATTTCAACTCCGGCGAAAGCTTTCTGATTGGAAAATTATCGATTGAGTATCTAATCGGAGCTAGTCGTATTTCCCCTGCTGAAATGGGTTTCTTTCCTCTGTTTCTCACTGTTCATTGTTTCCTTTCCCCCCAACCGTCTCTGAGCTCCTAGGTATTCAGAAGACTGTGACTGTCAGTTCTAGCTTTCCAAACTGATCCCCCTACCTTCCTTCTTCTGTTTGTACATTTTTATTTCTTTCCTCACTGTAGATTTCTACTGTTCTTTCAGCTCCCCAGAGTTCAAACCGCACTTTAAATTACCTCTGGTGAAACTGTTTTGGAATTCTTGCAGTTCTGGTCATCTGGAGATCTTGTTTGTGCAATTATGAAGCTCTGTTGATTTTGGATCTTGGGTTTTACTCTTTTGTAATAGTTTTTTTTAACCTTCCTTTGCATGCTCAATTCCGATTAATACTGCTTCCCTAAATTGAGAGGTGTTCCAGATTTCAGCCCCCCATGAATTGGCACATCAAATAGAGCATTTATGGTATTAAAATGATAATTGACGTGGTTGGCCTGTTACTATCTATCTGTTTGACACTACTCCTAAAGATTCCTTGATTGCGTTTTGAGAGTCTTTCTTTTTCTGGGTCTTTGTAATTCTGATTATTTTTTTGGTTTTGCTTAATCTGAACTCTTTCTAAAGGTCATAATGATGACTCATTTGTGGTTTGCTTGCTTCTTTCTTGACAATGTAGTTTGGATTCATCTCTTTGCAGAACTTTGATTGGTAGAGATGGATCGCCGGAGTTGGCCATGGAAGAAGAAGTCCTCATCTGAGAAGGCCTCTAAAGCCGCGGCAGCAGCAGCCGAGTCTCTGGATGCTGCTTTGGCTTCTGCTGAACCACTGGCGCAGACAGAGAAGGTAAAAAAATTCATCTTATTAATCTCCAAAATGAAACCTGGCTATCGAGAATTTGAGCTAGTTTTGACCCCTGGGATTATGTCTGAAACAGGATAACTACAAGAAACCGAGTTATGTCCAAATCTCAGTTGAATCGTACACCCATTTGAATGGTTTGGAGGAGCAGGTGAAAGGATATGAAGAACAAGTTCAATCACTAGACGACGAGATCAAAGACTTGAATGAACAGCTCTCTGCAGCTCAATCAGAAATGACCACAAAGGAGAACTTGGTCAAACAGCATGCCAAGGTTGCTGAAGAAGCTGTCTGTGGTAATAATACTTGCGATTCCCTATGGATGCTTGTGATTCAATCTTTTATCTCCCGCCATTTTTATAGAACATGGATTGTTTTCTTATGCAGGATGGGAGAAGGCTGAAGCAGAGGCATTGGCGTTGAAGAACAGTTTAGAAGCAATGACGCTGTCCAAGCTGACGGTTGAAGATCGAGCAGCTCATCTGGACGGTGCTCTCAAAGAATGCATGAGGCAAATACGAAACCTGAAGGAAGACCATGAGCAGAAATTGCAAGAACTTGTTCTCACCAAGAACAAGCAATGTGAAAAGATTAGACTTGATCTCGAATCAAAGATTGCTAATTTGGATCAGGAGCTGCTAAGGTCAGCGGCTGATAATGCAGCATTATCTAGGTCTTTGCAGGAGCGTGGCAACATGTTGGTGAAGATGAGCGAGGAAAAATCTCGTGCGGAGGCTGAGATCGAGGTTCTCAAGGGGAATATAGAGTCTTGTGAGAGGGAGATAAACTCGATGAAGTATGAAGTACATGTGGTGTCAAAGGAGCTTGAGATAAGGAATGAAGAGAAGAACATGAGCATGAGGTCTGCTGATGTTGCGAACAAGCAGCACATGGAAGGTGTGAAGAAGATAGCCAAGCTTGAGGCCGAATGCCAGAGACTACGTCAGCTCGTGAGGAAGAAACTCCCAGGTCCTGCTGCTCTGGCGCAGATGAAGCATGAGGTTGAGAGCTTGGGCCGAGATTATGGGGATTCGAGGTCGAAGAGGTCACCTGTCAAGCCTTCTAGCCCGCACATGTCGCCTATAACAGAATTCTCTCTTGGAAAAGAGACGGAGTTCTTGACAGAACGGTTGTTTGGCATGGAAGAAGAGACCAAGATGCTCAAAGAAGCTTTGGCTAAGCGTAATAGTGAGCTTCAGGCTTCGAGGAATCTATGTGCCAAAACATCGAGCAGGCTTCAGAGCTTAGAAGCTCAGCTTCATATGACCAACCAGCAGAAATCGGTGCCTAGCTTCACATCCATGTCAGAGGATGGAAATGATGACGATCGAAGCTGTGCTGAATCTTGGACCGCATCCATGATGTCTGAAAAGAACGGAGACAGATCATCAATCAAGGTAGAGAATGCTAAGAACCTTGAGCTCATGGATGACTTCCTTGAGATGGAGAAGCTGGCTTGTTTGGATAACCCTGGCAACAAGACTCCTGAGGTCTCTAATGGCACTTCTGATATGCCTAGTGGAGAAGCTCGACCAGAAGAAGTCAACTCGGGCAGAGATGAGGACATGCAATCAAAGATATTGGAGGATGTTAAAACTGTAGAGACCGAAATGAGCCAAGACTTGGCCTCTGCAGTCTCTCAGATACATGATTTCGTACTATTGCTTCGGAAAGAAGCAATGACTATTGACGGTGATGATGGGGAAGGACTAACTAAGAAGATTCAAGACCTGTCGTTGACCATCAACAAAGTTCTGAACCAAGGTTCAAGCTTAGACACCTTCATTTTCGACCTGTCCCAAGTGCTGGACAAGGTGAGTGAGCTTCGGTTTAGTGTGATGGGGTACAAAGGAAATCAAGCTGAGATCAACAGCCCGGATTGTATCGACAAAGTTGCTCTGCCAGAGAACAAGATTGTAATGGATGATGAACCATACTCGTCAATGAATGGCCATGTATCAAGTGGCAGTCCAAAGGCAAATCCTGAGGTTCCAGATGATGGGAACTTGATCCGGTGCAAAGTGTCATTAGAGGAGTTTGAAGAACTGAAGATGGAGAAGGACAACATGGCTCTTGATCTTGCTAGATGTGGTGAAGAACTCGAAACCACTAAGCTGCGGTTGCAAGAAACAGAGCAACTGCTTGATGAAGTCAAATCACAGCTGACAAATGCACAAAAGTCAAACTCTTTGGGTGAGACTCAGTTGAAGTGCATGGCAGAATCCTATAGATCACTTGAACTACGTGCTGAAGAGCTGGAAACTGAGCTAACCTCTCTTAGAGTCAAGACGGAAGGGTTAGAGAGTGAGCTTGAGAATGAGAAGAGGGCTCACGAAGAGGCTTTGAGCAGATGCAAGGATCTTCAAGAGCAACTCGAAAGGTATGAACTTTAACCTGTTCACTTGTTTTCCATTTTTTCCGCAACAAACCTGATGGAAGTGACTCATGTTTAATTCATTTAGGAGTGAGAATTGCCCAGTTTGTGCAGCAGCAGCAGCCGAGACTGAAGACAAGCAAAAACAGGTATGTCTTATGCATTGCTTTATATCAAAACCTTATATTTGAAACTCAGATTTCAATGAATGAACAAATCGTTCTCTTTTTCCTACAGGAGAAAGACCTGTTAGCTGCAGCAGAGAAGCTAGCGGAATGCCAAGAGACGATATTCTTGTTAGGCAAGCAACTAAATTCTCTACGCCCTCAGTCGACAGAGAACTCTGGGGAAAGGAGTCCGAGAGGAGGCGATGGTTCTGCCGATGAAGAACCACCAACAACAAGTGGCACAAACTTGCAAGGAGGAGAAGAAATGCTGGACACTGCAACTTCTCCTGCTCCTCAGTCTCCAGTGCATTCGTACAACAACCCGGGAAGGGAAAGCCCTGATCTGGAAGCTGCCAATTTGTTGAGATCACCAGTTAGCTCAAAACATCCTAAACACCGGCCAACCAAGTCAACCTCGTCGTCTACTTCATCCACTCCAACTCCCGAGAAGCCTGGGAGAGGGTTCAGCAGGTTCTTTTCGTCCAAAGGGAATAAGAATGTGAATTAGTAAGTAAATCCACACTGCAATAGGTTGCAGCTCGCAATCTACTGCATGAACATGATGTGATGATGATGATGCTGTCTCTGCTTGTTTGCTGAGTTTGGTTTAGGTTTTTCTGTGTTGTTGTGAAGAATGTGATGATGGGTGATTATAGAATGGCGGGGTTTGGAGAAGGGGAGGGAAATGGTAATTTTGTAACTAATGACTGTCTGTCTGTGTCTACTATGTGTATGTATATCGTATCCATATATGTGACTTCCTTTGCTGTTCTTTTTTTGGTGTTTACGTTTGTATTTAAACGTTGGTGAATGATGGAACACAACACCATTTTGGACAGTTATATATATATATTATTGCGAAAGGTTGATACTTTGCTTGTCGTCTCATTCCCGCACGCTGATTTCGTTGTTTCAAAGGAAATCTTTTAGCTCGAATCTTCTGCAGCAAGTCCTATGAGCTAATCACTTCGAACCTAAGATTGAGCAGGAAAAAAAAAAAAAAAAAACAGAAGAGTTCTCCCATTCAAGTACAATGAACTATATAATTGACAGTTTCATAAAAAAAAAACTATATAATTGACGGAACACTATTGCCTTTCTTCTGGTTATTGTTTTGCAATTGAGTTTCTTACCCGTTGAAAGTTGAAACAGTAATTAGAAGCTAAGAACTTTGTACAGTCAGCCATTGTTAAACTAATATAGATACCTTCGAGACGGAAAAAGTTAATCTGCTAACTTGAAGATTCGTTAGCAGATACCCAAAATATATGAATTAGTATGCAAGCATGTTGCTTTTATGAAGTAGTACTAAAGTATCTAGAGAGCACATACTAGTATTCAAGAATTGCTAACTGATATCCACCATGAATCAAATATTATCCCAAATTCACAAATTAATATCTAGACAACAGAGAATAGTATCCATAGATAACATAATTAGTATCCAGATAACACATAAGAGTATCCATATTGAATTCTAGTTGGTTTGATTGTGGATAGTAGTTGGTAATTGATTGACTGAATACTAATTATGTGAGTTGTATACTAGTTTTGTGATGTTTTGAATACTAGTATGTACTATCTAGATACTTTAGTATTATTTTATAAAATCAGTAGACTTTGATACTAATTCATACATTTTAAATATTAGTTAGTATATACTAACAACTTATACCGTTAGCAGAATAACTCTATTGCTTCGAGACTCTCATCGACCCGACCTGCCCTGACCCGCCCCATTCTCGACCCGTTCTTGCCTAAATTACATGTAATTTTAGTCAAATTACTTAGAATTTTCCTTTTATTACATCAATTTTTAGCTATAATAAAGTTGTAAATTAGTGAAAACCTCAATTTCTCCAATAATTTAACTATATTTATCATAATATTGTTTGTTTTCTTAGTCTTATAATAAAAATAACGAATATTTCTAATATTTTTCATACAAATTGCATACCCATTGGGTCTACCCAACCCGAGACCCGTGATAAATTACCCGATTTGGACCCGACCTGCCATGGGGCGGGTCTGGGTACTGAGAAACCCGCCCCGGACCTGCCCATTGCCATTCCTAAATGCAGATTACAGATTAGTCTCTAGCCTGTAGCTAACTGACACAAATTTGAGCTTTGTTCTTCAGACGTCGGCCCATGAGTCTGTGAAAAACCGCGTTACTAACTGGGCTGTGAGCCTGTGACCGACTGCTTCATTCACTGCGGACCACAAGTCCACAACCCTGGCTGTAGAGATCCAAGCCCAGTGGGCCTTTGTAAATACACCAATTCGTGCCCTGAACTGAAGATAACTGTTCTTTTCTGGCGTGGACTGACCAGTGGACCTCTGGTAAATCAGCCTACGTTTCTGGGAACAACTCTCCTCCTGATTGCATAGCTGGTCCAGGCCCAATACAAATCAACTTTTATGTTCTGTACAAAATGCAACTTTTATTTTTTTAATAGCGAGGTGTTCCATTGAGTTGAGTGAAGAGTCCATAGCTGGTCTAGGAATTTGTTGCATTACGGATTTGGGAAGAGTCCATTGTTTGCTTAGTTGATTTGATCATGGATTTATGAGTTATGGATTTATATCTTTAAGATGTTTATTACCTTACTATCCTTCTTCATGTTAGATTTATATAACTTTACTTGTGTTTCTAATTTTATTCTTATGGTCATATTGTTAATTTGTGCTTTTAAATTGACATTTTATAGCAAGCTCGTAAAATTAGTAGCCACGAGATATTAAAATGTGTAGATAATCACAATATATAGTTGTAATCTTACAATTATTGGCTAAAATTTGTTTGTTAGAATTACTATTTTAACAACAAATGTAGTTTGTAGCTAAAGGTATTACTTGCCATCCAAATCAAAATAATCATACGTTTATGGCAAAATAAATGTGTGACAAAGACCTTCCATGAGAAATAAATTATGTAATCATTAGCATGTTATTAGCTTATGGCATAGATTATGTAGTCATTAGCATGTTATTAGCTACAATATTACTTTTCATGGCTAAGTTTGTAGCTATAAGAGACAATTGTAGTAGTGCAAAGAATAACTAATGATGGGTAAAGTTGGAATAAATAAATTATAAAGGGATACATAAGTCATTTTTCATGAAGGATTTATTCCCTTCTTCAAATCCCAAGTAAATAGGTGGAATTTACAAATCCGTGGGGCCCACGGATTTGGTATCCTCCATTTTGGCTCTACAAACAATGGCTTTTGGACAAATCCTTCATGTGTTGGATTTAAGAACCAAATCCAAAATCCAAATCCATGAAGCAAACGACCCCTAAATTTACATGTAAATTTTCTAATAAATTTGAGAAATCTAGTAATGAGTGAGCCTTTAGTCCCTCCTACCCGTTCAAATTATCTGAACGTAGATTATTTACTAACCCCTCTCGTTCAAATTTCTACGGATATGACCCATACAACTACATCCATTAGATTTGTGCTAGGTTCACAAACTATTGGACCACTAGCTACTATAGCCAGCTTTGGCCTTTGAAGCATAAATGGAGCCGTGCCCTATTGGACGATCATTCATTGATCACATTGAAGAGCAAACAGTTGGGATTTGTCTGATATATCCCACAAGGATTCAAACTTGGAGCTTTCAAAGTGCGTACGTATATATTTCTTGTGGCTGGACATTCCACCGTACAAAGTGCTGATCAAACAATCAATTTGATAGGGCTATGTTTGGCTCACAGAGTAGATTCATATATTGGCTTCTCTTCAACTTAACGAACTGAAAAAGAAAGGGAGAGAAAGAGAGAAGAAAAAAGAATCGAAGATATGTATGTAGCTTTAGCTGATGGGAAAACGCCATTGAAGTTGCTTCGCCGGCCAACAGAGGATGGCCTACGAGACAACTCACCTTCCCAACATAAGGGTCTCTTTATGTCCAAACAATCCCTTAGCTAACATGACTGGCCCTTAGCAATAGTGACCCCCAAATTGCCCAATTGACAAATTTTCCGCCAGACAACATTTCATCAACAAAACAAACAAACAAACAATCGGGTTACATCGTCACATGCAACTGCCAAACACACAACAATCACACACAACTGGTTTCGTGTTGTGACTTGTTGTATAATAATACACAAGTGAAATTATAGATATGATTCTTGTCTAAAATTACGTATTAAGTTTGAAAACTCTCATTCATAAAAAAAAGAAGTTTGAAACTCTCGATTATATATGGTTCGACATTCTTGGTTTTTGGCAAGTCCTTCAACAAGTGCAGGAGAAAGCGTGCCAAACAACCTTGAAACAAAGAAGGATATATATATATATATATGGTGACTACTTCGGTGCACTCACAAAAATGAGTGCGTTCAATGCACCCAACTCAAAAACTAATTTTAAGGTGTCGGATTTTGATTTTTAATTTATAGGATTAGTGTAATATGATGATATAACATATCATAACAACTAATTAGCGGATTACCCTAAGCTCTAAACCTCCAATTTTGAGTTCTATCCCTAAATCCCAACTTGTAAACCCTAACCCTAACCCTAAATTTCTAAACTCTAAATCCTTCAAATTAAAGTAAATCTTCAATGATTTTTGTGCAAATTCATGTGCGTTATTGTTCATCACATCATAAGTGATGATTGGCATGATTTTGACATAAATCGGATGTTTAAAATGACGGTTATAAAGTGAGTGCACTGAATGCACCCAAAAAAGTGAGTGCACCGAAGACGCCACCACATATATATATATATATATATATATATATATATATATATATATATGGTGGCGTATTCAGTGCACCCACTTTTTTGGGTGCACTCAGCGCACCCATCTCATAATTGTCATTCTGAGCATGTGATTCATGTCAAAACGGTATCAATTGTTGCTCATGATATTATGAACAAGAAGCACATGAATTTGAAAAAAATTCATTCAAAATTTACTTTAATTTGAAGGATTTGGGATTTAGGGATTTAGGGTTAGGGATTAGGTTTAAAATTTGAGATTTTGGATTGGGATTCAAAATTGAAGGTTAAGGGGTTAGGGTAATAGATTGATTTGTTATGATTCTATGTCATATCATCATATTAGATTGAGAGTACTAATTAAAGTTCAAAATTTGATGTAATATGGACACTTTTAGAGTGGGTGCACTGAGTGCACCCAAAAAAGTGAGTGCGCCGAAGTAGCCACCATATATATATATATGACTCATTTGATTGTCTCGAACAAGGATTAAAACTACTTAGATCGCTCTGGCCGGAAGTGCTGGTCATGGATGGATGGGAGGAAGTTTTTGAGGGCATTCCAACAAATCAATTACGAGATTGAATCTAGTATGTCATGCCTACATTATCATATATTATATTCCTTCGAACTACTTAAACTATCAAAATCATTTGAATTCGCCCTAATCTACTCTAATACCCCTTCTCCTCTCTAGAAAGCTAGACATTAATGGATTTCATATTCAGCTTGGAGATTAACTCCACAAAAGTGTGAACGAGAAGGCCTTCATAAAGGGATTTCCAAGTTAAGGTGGTGGGAGATATATTCTACTTTAAGCTTGTTATCTAATACTTGATCACGAATGAAGGAACAATCAATTTTCATATGCTTGGTGCGCTTAAATTTTACTGAATTCTATCATTTTTATTATATAGAGGCTATCATAATAGACCACAAGGCACATATGGCAGCTTAGATTGGACTAATAACTACTGAAATAGGTCATTCATTGTTTTCTTATAGATAAGAGTGATATAGGTTTGCTTTCATTCATTGTAGTTCCTGAGTTGTATATGCAAGTGCTATGTATTTGGCTTCTAACGACTTAGAAATAATATAATACTTCTTGGACGGCTAAATTACATGTTTG